CCTCGTCTGCCTCCGGAGCCTGGTTTGCGCTGTTTGCAAGAAGGAAGTCTAGAGGCAATGACGCAATGACGGACCGAACGCGTCAGAATCGTTACGTCATGCGTTAATTTGTTTCGTATATTAAATGTCTGACGAAAATAGATAATCGAAGGTCCTTTGCAATGTGAGATGTGTGCGTTATGAATCATGACGATTTCGCTATGAAACTAAGTACTGTACTTATCAATGTACTTGGGGCTAAGTTAAGAGAATGGCGGTAAACAAAACTTAAAGAGAGGATGTCTTACGAATTAATTCCTGTTCCCACGTCATAGTGCTGGACACCAGCAGGGAGATGACCGAATTCAAACAGGTGAAATTATTTGAGGAGAACAGACTATTCCAGGAAATATGCCGTGTGACAATAAATGATCATATTTTGTTTTATCTTGGACGAAATATTTCAATATCAAATCTAAAACTTCTTGACGATGGTGAAGAGTCAATTGAATAAAAATTTACTTGGATATTATCCATCGTCTAGTAAATATATAAAACTTAAAACGACGTTTCGGAGATGGGACTCTATCTCCGTCTTCAGGTTCCTACACAGTTGGGCCCACTAGATAGAGCTAATCCCTATCTCCGGTCTACTAGACGATGGATAATATCCAAGTAAATTTTTATTCAATTTCAATATCAAATGAATTGGTTCCATCAGAGAGAAAAAATAAAATAATGTTAGCTAGAAATTGATTCTGACAAAAGGTATAAAGTAAAGATTTAGTCCACACACACACTATGGAAGGGCCAGTTATAATATAATTTAAACCCTGAATTCACAACATTCTTAACAAGATAAAGCTTTCAGACTGATTAGTGTAGTAATAAAGGCCACACGTTGACGCAGACAGACACTCTGTCCTAAGCTCCGAAGCTGGTTCCCTCCCTATTGCTTGTCAGCAATTTCACGCCTTCCCAGAATTTCGATGAAACAGTTTTCTTCGTGGTACGTGCCGCTCCTAGCGAACTGAAGCGTCTGCACGAGCTTGCTGCCTAACCTTTGTCACTCACTTACCTTTGACGCCAACCTCCGTCGGCCTAGCGCGCACAACAATGCAGAAGAGTGCTAAAGTTAGGCACAGCGATGTCCTGTGTTGCAGCGCCATCTTCCGGTCTTGTGTTCTGAGGCAAATACACGTTTAGGATTCAGAAGGCCTTGGACCGCGGTCGGAGGAATAATGCTGGACCGGTCAGACGGCTGGTTCCTTTTATATACTGTCCATGTATCTGTCTGCATCTCATTAGCCGTCCACATTTGTCCTTAAGCTGTCTTTTTGAAGAAAACAACCAACTCCCAGTATTGCAGGCATGCAGTTTGTGATTCGTCGCTTGTACTCGGCGAAGTTCAATGTTTTCATCGGAAAAGCCGTTCACTGCCAAGAACCAGTGGTGATGTCAGAGTAGCCAGCTGTTAGCATGAACTATGTGGAACAAATATTACAGACGCAACTTCCAAGGTAACTTATTGTACCAAGAACTGACGAGAAGGTAAGGCGGGGATTTCAGGGGTTCATTACCACCTCCAGCAGGCATCGACCATGGGGAATCCCGCATTAACTCAGAGCAAGTTCGTGCAGTGTGGAATTACACTTTTATTTTTGATCGCAGATTCGCAGAAATAAGAGCTGAAACATTCAGACTTTCACTGCACACAGTGCAGCCGAGTTTATCACACATTTGTTAAGGCCAGGTTTTAAAACAATGTCAAGAGTTTTTTCCATAAATTTACAAAACGAGGCTACAAATGAAAGTTGAGGGTAACTTGGCATGCCGGTATCCTTTTTCCTAACAACAGTTCCATTTCATAATTATTACTATTACTTAAAGCAAACTCTGCTTAATTTTAATGTCTTAAAATGTTTACTTTGTAATAAACTGTAAATAATTTCTTGCCTTGTTAGTAATGGAGGGAGTTTATGAATCTGTGTAACTCCGGCTTTACAGTTTGATACATGAGTGAATATGGAGCAGGGGAAAGCCAAAAAATCTCTGAGAGAAGTCTGTCCATGTGTCACTTTGTCCGTCACAAGTCCTAAATGTACTGCACTGAGAGTGAACCCTGCCTTCCAAAGTGAGGAGCCAGTGACCAACCGCCTGAGCTACTGCACGGCCGAACTGAAAAATACTCTCAGACGACATCTCTGAAGACGAAATACACTTTCGACTCAAAATTCTGTCCTTCGTTTCCCTTTACAGCGTTCTTACATTACCATCGTATCTTGATGGAACGTTTTAGCTTGTTCAACGTTAGATCGTGGAAGTAGAAAGTTAATTTTGAGGGACATTCGAGGACAAAGCATTTTTGAGTCTGCTTCACTTATTTTTTTCCAATTTTGCTTTGAGTAACTGAGACTTCTTCTACTTTTGCCTAAATCCTTCACAAATGTTTCATTGTGCCCATGATAAAATGCAATGAAAGGAGTACCAAGTAACGATGTTCCTCACTTTGATTGCACTGTGAATATGGAACAAGAAGTCCCTCTTCCTACGCCTTGGGCCATACGTCTTTTTGGTTAGTTACCATCGACAAAAATTGATGTTGGACTTCTGTGTATCGTATTAGAACACGTTGCAACTTTAAGTCCAAAACAAAACGCATTTAGGTATCTATTGGCTGTAGCGTCCTCGGTCATTTTGATATTGCAATGTGCGAGAAGCGAACGATTTGTCGATTCACCTATTCTCGGTTCTGACGACTACAGGAGCGTGGGCAGATACCAACGTTTCGGAGAAGCACTCTGTTTCCCCACCTAAAGACAGAAATTGTTTCTCCGAAATGCTGGTCTCCACTTTCAGTTACAGCCCAGACCAATTACGTCATCCTCACCGCCGTGAGAACCTTAGATCTGACAGAAAGAAATGAGAGAATGTTTATTATGAATTGGAAATGGTGACGAAGGAGGTGGCCGTGTTGTATTTTGAGGAACTGAGGACATCTACGAAGATCAGGAGTTCCTTTGTGCGGACGGAATTAAACCCAGGTGTTGTGCAGGTACGCGATGTGTGTGGGCGTAACAGCGAAGGTAGTGAAGGTGTTCATATCAGTTCAGTTCGAGGGCATGCGAAGTAACGTTTCTGGCTGGGAACAGCGTTTGAGGGCGAGGTTGTGTGGTAACACTGACAATACTCGAGCTGAGTGTCTTTGTATGCTTTTGTGAGGTCACCGATTCCAATCTCGACCTGGTTCTGGGCTGGCTTTGCTGATAGATTTATTGTCTCTCGTAGAAGTTCTGGTTTCCTAACGTGAGCGGACTGAGACGTCTGGCTGTGGTTTGTTTAAATTCTGTAGGATTTTAGGTTTTCACGGCGGTGAGTCCGAAGATGGCCGTCTTCTGTGTTCTTTCGCCCTCTAGTGTGGTAGAAGTTTACAGACGTTTCAGAGGTCCTTGCTGCCTCCATCATCGGGACGATGATTCATCGCAGTAAAGACCTGTGAAACGCCGGTAAACTTCTACCAGACTATATGGCGCTACAACCCAGAAGACGGCCAGCCATCTTGTTTCTAGTCGCCATGATCTCAGGATCCCATCTCAACGTGAGTCAGGTCAATTGTCGTTAATCTCTGGGTCTTGGTGTCTTCTTTTGTTTCAATCTGTGACTCCCAGTGCATAAGAATGTGTAGTGTCTCATAAATATTGCGATCTGTTTCGGTTCGCCTTTTCAGAGGAGTCCTTCGCCCTCCACACCTTGGGGCGTATGATGCGTGTGACGTCCAGATGTTAATGGAGTGACGTGTTGTGTTGATGACTGCCTTTCATGGCGAAGTTCGTCTGCATTTTCTCGGCTACATGTTTTGTTTCCGCTTATTTCTGCTTACTTGCAGCTTTGTAAAAACCAATCGAAGTGGTCTCAAAATCTGGAGGTAGGAAATGAGGCACAGGACGAAAGAAGGAAGAAGAAATTAAAGAAGGAAATACAACAAACTAAATAATAATAAATTCTGCAGTACTGAATAAAGACCGATGTTTTCAATTAAGAGTGTATAACGAAAAGTGGGTGGCTCTGCAGTCTACAATTTATTGTTGTTATTGCAACAATTAATGAATGTTTGTGGGATTACGATTACAGTCTTACGAATATACATTCCCGTTGAACGTGTCATAAAGTTGCCGAATTCTTTCGTGTTTTTATGTTGGTGACTGATAAGATCTGTCGTCAATACAAATTAGTTTTGGATATGCCCTTCTTGCAGAACAAAGACATTGCTGTGGAACAATTGTTGTCAGCTGCCTTGAACGGAGAACCCGGAGCTCTGAACAAAAGATTTTCGTTCATTCGAAACAAATTTGCCTGTATTATTTTAGGAAATGTGTTGCTAGGCGAGGCTTAGCCGACGGTACCGTTCTCCATTGCGGGCAAAGTCACGTGGCTTGTAACAATCACGCGGAGACTTAATTCTGGTGCTCATGTTCCGCGCATGCGTCACTGTTCTCCGACGAAGTCTCTTTGTGCCACATTCCGAGGATTACGTCTTACGCTGCTTTTCATATAAGCTGAATGTGTAACAAGAGAAATAATTATAATAAAAGTGAAAGTATTCACGATTTAATATCGATGTAAATCGACAGCAACTTATTTCCCGTCGTTGGAATGACGATTACAAATGCAAGTAGAATGTCAACTTGTTTTTTTTTAAACGGAAGCCTGCTTCTTCAGTTGTGACATCTTATTCGATGGGATTCTGAAGTATTTCTCAGACACTACTTAGCCCGTCAAACGCTATCATTGTTATTGGTTATTACACGCAGGAATATGGGCCTCTGTTGCAAATCCTGTAAACACTTGTTTTCACATTGTACACAGGTTAATTATTTATTTAAATTTATTGGTAAGATAATTTACATTATTATCTGAGGAGTTGACAGTAGCTCGGACAGTGAGGAAACCACATTAACGATAGTTATACGACGCCTTCATGTTTTTCCACAATGCTAGTATCCTCTGGAACAGGGGTTCTCACCCTTTTTCGCATGCGTACCACTAATTCTAATCTAACACATTAAATGTACCGCTAACCAAATGAGTTCAGGGAAAACCTATTTATGTTAATATTATCTTTTTATTTTCTTACTTAGTTCGCGTACCACCAGTGGTACGCTTGCCATGGTTGAGAAACGCTGCCCTAGAGCGTAAGGGACGGTGACCGAAAGAGGAAAAATGCTCATCGTCCTCCGACTCCTTAAAAATAAAGGCAAATAACTTAACTTCCATCGGCCACATAGTCTCTGGAGTAGCAGGAAACAGTCTAAAACATGTTTGATGTTTTTTCCGCGTAGACGTTTGGGTAGATGCGTCTACAGGAAAGTCTTCACGGCGTCGAAACCGAGAAGACGTCACCATCCTCACAGACACGTTGACCAAGAATGAAGGAAACATGAAATTGCCACTTGATGATCCAGAAATACCTTTATTAATAAGAGTCGAAGAGCAGACGACTTAAAATGAGTCCTCGCTTGCGGGTTTAGCAATAACTCGACGACATAAGATGAGCCGCGGGAATAAAGAATTTAATTGCATAGTGAGGACATCGCTTTTTTTTTACAACGTTGCAAGACCTGGAGACTGCGGAACACGTAATTGGCAAGAAGCAACTCTCACGACATTCCTTCGCGGCGACAAGAGACATGTCGCGTCCTCGTGTTGTCGCGTAATTGCTTTGCACTTTTCCGTTCCTTGTTTAGTTCCTTTGAGCAGGCAGGTTTTCTGACACGCAATAAAACACGGGCGAAGCAGTGACGGTATTACAAATGGTCGCCATGGCTACGTCTTCTTGTTTGTCCCCTCCACTGGGTGACCACTTTGTGCTCTGCTGTTTAGTATGGAAGCTTACACTGTGCACTGGAGAACACTTTTAAAATGGATCTTAAGAATCAGGGTATAAAGGCTCGACTGGACTAATCTGGCTCAAGATAAGGATCAGTGGCGAGCTCTTGTGAACACGGACGACAGCCATCTTCAGACTCAACCTCAAATCTTACATTGGGTAATAGAAATTTGAGGGGATTTGTTAACTTGCTGAATGACTGTTAGCTTGTCAATAAGGACTCTGATTCATGGACTTCGAAATTATGTAAGTGTTCGGTCTTCTTGGCTGCTAAATGACGCAAACATAACAGAACAGTACGTCTCGTTGCAGTTAAGGAATCTTTGCGCTTAAGGAGAAAATTTCAGTTCTTAAATAACTCTACTGGATGGATTTCGTAATTAAGGGGACAAAAAGAATACATACAAGTGATTTATCAGACCTAAGAATAATCTCAAATATTACATCACTTCTTATAAGTATCTAATCGTTAAAGAAACGAGAAAATATCAACTCACTGCATTCCCGTGACGATGCATAAACTTTCTTGATGTTGCGTTCATTTATCTGTCAA